TATTTATTGCCTGTCTGCACCCACTAGATTTCAAGCACTAGTGAGGAAAAGAATTTCCTTTTTTTTTTTTTAAACTCAGTATCATAAGCACTTAGAGCAGTGTTGGGGATTGCTGGACATTAGACAAGAATTTGCTAAATGAATGAATAAACTGAGTAGACCAAATATCTCACTAACCATGCAAAAAAAAAAAAATATTCAGACTCCTAGTTCTTACTGAGAAACATTAGATTTAAAACAGAATACAATCAGTCCTTTTTTCAAAACCAGCCTAAGCTTTCTCTAATGATCAGATGTACCATGTGTCTCTCATATAAACCCCTCAAATACAAATATCTAAAAGGCAATGAGGTCAATTTCTGGAATGATAGTGTGAGGAGTTTTGTGAACACGCTCCCCAGTGGAACTGGTGAAAATTATTAGAAATGGCTGTGTAAAGCCTCTGGAAGGGGTCCTAAGAGTATACAGCAAAGGAAGAAACATCTGTTAAAAAACTCTATGAAAATTTTGTATGAAAAGTGAGAATCTGTGGTATTTGTAACAAAACCACTCCCTCTATCCCCATTCCAAATTCAGAGGGCCTTCACTCCTGAGGTGTGTAGCCAAGAACACAGGACTCCTACTCCCAGCTTCCACATGGAGGGCTTTCTTCCCCTGAGGAGCAGGAAATCTACATTTCTCATCCTGTCCCCGGTGATCTGCTAAGTCCCAGCTGAGTGTGGTCTAGAGGGGGAGTCCTCCTTCTACTCATCCCCTATCCACGGAATAAGGCTGCCGTTTGGACATTGGTGTGCTGAGAATCCTGGGGCCTTGGTCACCCTTGCTCTGGATCATAAATTGGGGTGTCATGTTGAGAGAAGCAAGCAGAGAAGACCTCAGATGACTGCACCTCCTCCACTGAGTGTTCAGATCATAAAGTGGGATCTTTATTCCAAAGGAAGCATGACATTGTCTCCACTCCCAGCTCCAGAGTGCTAGTTCCAAAATTCTGCCTAGGGTAGAAACAGCCCATAAAACAGCACCTAATAATCTTTTCCCAAAGGAATCAACTTTGTTTGCAATGCAGTGTGGTGTTCAAGCCTCAGTGTCCTCTCAGAAGCAGTGGAGTAGTGGTGAAAAGACTGACTAACTTGTGGGAGAGTTAGGAAGGGAGATAGCTGGGAGGAGCCCTCCCAGAGTGAGAACACCAATCCAACACTGACTTTAGGAGTTGTTCCTTCAAAGAAGCCCAAATCGGATTGGATTAGTCTGCTGGGCAATTTATGCCAAGGGCATCGTTGAAAACAATAGAACAATCAGTGAGCAATCAGTAGCAAAAACTATGCAAGAGTCTTTCCCTAGCCTTTTCTATTCCTGTGCTATCCTGCCTCACCCTCACAACCTTCCAGGAAGTTAGGTAGGTTCTGTGCGTTGAAGATAGGTAACGTTGGACTTTGGTAGGTAAGTGGCTCACAGTGTTCTGTAGAGCTTTCTACAGTTTCTCAGAATTAAAACTGGATTCTGTGGTCAAAATCTTTTGGAGGAAACACTGTGTTTAAAACATATAGCACATGCTGAGCACTTCTTATAAAACAGGAACTGTGCAAGGTGACTTAGACGTGGTATCTCATTTAATCCTTTTGGCAACCTTATGATATAGGTCCTGTTATGATCAACTCATTTTTCCTGTAAGCAATTCAAATTTTGACAAGTTAAGTAAACTTTTCAATGGCATACAGCTGGTAAGTGGTAGAACCAAGATTCAGACCCAGAGACTGTCTTTCCAAACCCACACTCTTATGAAAAAGCACCACAAAGTTTAAAACATTGCCTTGCCTGAGGCCTTCTCAGAACCTTAACTCTACTAGAATGTACTGTGTAAAATAAAATGTATTAGAATGATACAGAAAAGGCTCTAAATCATGGGCCATAGAACTCTCTATTCACCATTTATCTAGGAGGACTCTGAACTATTAGTGCCCTAAGTAACACACATGAGTTTTCTCTGCCTTTCCCTAGCCCTGAAGCCCTAAATCTTCTAGCTAATTCTTACCTGTCTCTCAAAACATCAACACCTCATTCTAGTATATCTTCCCAGGTAGCTTTTCTGGATCTCCAGACCTGATTTTGGTGTCCCCTTCTACAATTTCATATTACTCTATGCAGGGACATTGGCAGTGTATGGAGACATTTTTGGTTGTTACAGCTGGTGTGGGGTATGGTGCTATTGGCATATAGTGAGTAGAGGGTAAGAATACTCTGAGTATCCTATAACGCATAGGAAACCCTCCCTCCCCCACAACCAAGAATTAGCCAGCCTAAAATGCGGAGGTTGAGTGCCGAGGTTGAGACACGCTGCTCTACGATTTCAGTCACTGCAGTTACAACACTACCTGAACCTTATATTTACTTGTCTGTGTTGGTCCCTCACTCTACTGTCAGCTTCTTGACTAGAAATCAGGGTTTCTCAGAATATATAGGCCACTGACAGATCTCAGCATAAACTGTTGAAGGAAAGAAGTTAATGATAGTTTGTAGTAGGTGCACTGGGGCGTATTAACTAGCCCATGGCCCCCCATTCTTGACCACTCCTACATATTACAGTGGTGGGTCCTGGCAGCCATATTTGCACTATTTGACGCTGCTTCTTTGTCCTAGTTATTGAAACAGAAGTGGGGATACCAGTTCTCACCTTAGCCCGTCATATTTCTTCTCCAGGGAATTTAGAATTGCTGCTAAAAGGCAATACTCAGTCTCTACTGGTTACTTGAAGTTGGGAGCTATAGAGCAGCCATCTTTGACCATGGCATGTGAAAACTCTGATTGGAGGAGGAGGATAAATCCATGGTGGGTGGGCACAGACACAAGAGAATGTGGCATTCCCCTGACAGTAACTTTGGTTTCCAACAATGGCTTTCCACCTGCTGGTTCCACTGAGCCCATGTGTGTCTCTCTTACACATTCTTTTCCAGGGTCTCATTTTTATACCTCTATCATAGACTCCCTCCATTTTATTTTGGTCTGAGTGGGTTTCTGTGTACACAGAACCAAAGAGTCTTGACTAAGTGACAAGCCAGGAAACATAGCCCAATTTTCTTAACCTTTAATACAAGGTTCTTACTTTCCCCAAACCATGAGAGTTTGGAGGAGAAAAGAAAAAGCAACAGAGTCCAGTTAGAAGGCACCTTTATCATCCCATTTTCAATGGTCTACAAAGGGTAGCTGGAAAGGCCATCCCTATTTTTAGATGATTGCCCAGAAAGAGTGACTAATGCCTGGGGGGCTTACTTTAGACTCTAAACTATATAAAGTTGCAGAGGCATGAGCTCCCCTCTGTAAGTGAAAGGCATTAACAATTTACTTCAGTTTCAATGCATCAAAAGAGGCTCATGGAGACAATTATTTGCTGAAGGGCACATGACCTTGTTGGACCTGACATTTATTTTATCTTCCTTTGAAAACAGTTAAGGTTGCACAATTGATATTTCGCACTTCTAATCTTTTGCTTCTTGGTGCTTACCACAAAGAAATTAACAATACTAGCAATAGTAAATGATTAAATCTGGATGTTGGCTCAGAATAGACTCAGAAATTTTTTGTTTTTGAAGGAAAACAGAGAAATCGAAAACTTCTCTGGCTGTATGAAGGTTTCAGGGATATGGCCACACAAATGTGAAGCACTCCTGATTGCCTCTAGCTGTGATGGCTGAGGAAGCATAGACAACAGCAGCCACAACTGCTGGTGTTGGCTCAGCCATCAAGTTTGGCCTGAGAACAAATTCTGTCAATGGGGTGTTTTCAAATGCAATGCTAGCCATTCCCAAAGTGAGCCTACCCTCTGCTTGTTCTTTGACCTCCTCCCACAAATCTGGGATAGTTTTCTAGAGAAATAGCTTTTACATTCCCTCACCTATTTGGTCCTTGATTTACCCGGCATAGATGCCAAGTAACATTTACACGATGGATTAAGGACCCTCTGAGATCATCGCTGTTCTCCATGGCAGACTGTGCATTTGCAAAAGCTTGACTGTGTTCTTGTCGACAACCAGCCATTTCTTCTTTTTCTTTCCTTATTTTTTTTTGGGGGGGGGGTTAAATGTGTATTTATTTTTGAGAGACAGAGTGCAAGCTGGGGAAGGGCAGAGAGAGGGGGACAGAGGATCTGAAGCAGGGTCTGCGCTGACAGCAGAGAGCCCAACGTGGGGCTCGAACTCACGAACCTTGAGATCATGACCTGAGCTGAAGTCATAAATCAACCACTGAGCCACCCAGGTGCGCCCCTCTTCTTTTTCTTCATTATAAAAACTCCACCCCCTTTCTTGGAGGGTGGGGGAATGGTTAACTCATGGTTTCCAGGTCTCAAAATACTTTTTTCCTCATCTATTTTCTTTGGTGACCCCCAACTCCAAACATCTTTCTCCTTGGTGCTGGTTGAATTACAATTTTTTCAAAAATCTTGTTTTCTTACAGCCTTTATTTTAGGCTGTAGATCTTCACTGGTACAGAGCGTACAAGGTGAGCCCTTGGTTTGGCAAGCCTTTTGTCTCTGCTCCCTAAACCTCTGGTGTCAGGATTAGATGAGAAATAAAGAGTTTGAAACATTCTATTCAGTTGATTGGCAAACAATCATTTCAGATGCAAAAAACTCTATCTGCATGAAAGGATTTTGTACACTGATTTTGAAAAAAAAAAAGAATAGGAAAAAAAATGATTCCTTGGATAATCAGAGTCAGAATTTCTTGGACTCTCTGGAGAAAAATCCCATGCTAGCTCCCTCACATTTTTTTTTTCCTTCAGCAGCCTGTATTAGAGTGTGGAAAAGCAGCAGGAGGAGAAAAAAGTCTGTAATTTTAATGGGACTATGGAGACCACTTTGAAATATTGAACATTTCCATGAGAACAAATAGCTTCTACCTGATGTCATAGCTGCTTGTTCTCTTTAAGGATCCAAGCGAGTAGGTGAGTTTTCCTGACGTAGGGTATGGTTGGGTCCTTCAGGACATTGAAGGATGTCACTCGTGGGGCATGGTCGGCTCCCTGGACTGTGCCTGTTCCCTGAGCCAGGACTTTGATTTCAGCGTTCCTTTCTCTAAAGCCACGGCCACTGCAGCCCAGCAGTGACTCAAGCAGATGGCTGTTGGTGACAAGCCTCTTCTGATTGGTAATAAAAATACCAGAAGCTACACTGCATTGTGTACAAATACGTGAGGCTATTGCAGATTCCTTTGTATCTCTAGATTCTATTTTGAGAGCGGGTTGATCTTCTCCATGCAGAACCCTCACAGAATGAGCAATCACGCCAGGTGGGTGCTTGAAGCGCTATTGCAGTTTGTGAAAGTCAAGATTTGTTTGTTTGTTTGTTTGTTTGTTTGTTTTAATCAGCCTTCAAAACCATACCCTTACCCTCTAGGATTTCTGACTGACTGCCCGTGATCTGGGGTGGGGAGGAGGAGAAAGAATTTGGATCTTATACAAAAACCATCAGAGGCTCTTCCCAGTTGAAAAACGAACTCAGATTGTACTGCCTCTCTCTTCCCTTACGAGATGCTGCTAAATGAACAATACTGTGGGAAAATGCAGAACTGCGGATGGGAACGGAATTTGGGGCAGAGTCTGGGGCGCCTGGGTGGCTCGGTCGCTTGAGCGTCCAACTTCGGCTCAGGTCATGATCTCACACTCCGTGAGTTCGAACCCTGCGTCAGGCTCTGTGCTGACAGCTCAGAGCCTGGAGCCTGTTTCAGATTCTGTGTCTCCCTCTCTCTCTGACCCTTCCCCGTTCATGCTCTATCTCTCTCTGTCTCAAAAATAAATAAAACGTTAAAAAAAAAACCCATAAATAAATAAATAAATAAATAAATAAATAAATAAGTTGGGGCAGAATCTAAATGCCCAGAATCCACTTCCTGCTCAATGACTCTAAGAACAGGTGAGAGTTGAAGTTTGAACTTGTTTTGCTTCATTTATGGCACTGGTTCACAAACATTTCAGCATCAAATCACCTGGGGAGCTTTTATAAAATTGCAGATTCCCAGGTCAGAACCTCACTCAGAGGTTCTAATTGAGAAAGTTTAATTTTTTTTTTTTAATGTTTGTTTATTATTGACAGAGAGAGAGAGAGAGAGAGAGAGCATGAACAGGGGAGGGTCAGAGAGAGAGGGAGACACAGAATCCGAAGCGGGCTCCAGGCTCTGAGCTGTCAGCACAGAGCCCGACTCGGGGCTCGAACTCACGGATTATGAGATCATGACCTGAGCCAAAGCCGGACGCTCAAGCGACTGAGCCACCCAGGCAGCCTCTCTGCTTGGAAAAGTTTAGACTGGGGCCAGGGATTCTATATTTGGGATGAGAAACCTAGGTGACTCCAACCTGCTACTGCTACACTAAAATGTGATATTAATAAGTTTAAAAGTCATGGGGCCAACTGTGACCCATGTCAGCTAACTGCTAACTCTGTGGCCCCAATCTACCAATCATGAGGGTTCTGGGTGGGGGTGTGAGAAGCACTGGCATGGAGAGAAAAGATAACAGATAAGGGATCAGAAGGTCTGGTTTCCAGTCCTTTCCCTGTCATTTATTAGCCATGGGACCTTGGGCAAATGTCACTGGGGGGCTCAGTGCCTCATCTATAGAATGGGGCCTATAATTCATGCCTTGCTTACCTCATTGGGTCATGAGGATCAAATTAGAAATAACTGGGTAAAAAAATTACATGTTAGAAGTCACAATATTTTCATAGAGAGGCAGTACTTTCCCTCTTGAGTCTAATGATGGTCTACTCACACTCAGCATCCCCAGACCCAAGCACCTCTGCTCAATGAACCAAGGGAAGCCTGGTTTGTTGTAAGAGCTGATTCCAAATGCAGTTATCATGACCCGGAAGGAAGTGGTTTTTAGAACGGCCAGCTGCATGCTATAAAGGGAAGATTCTGGGGCTCCATCCTGCATCAGAGGCTCTGTGAGTGTGGGTGGGAATTTTAACATTGCCAGAGACCATTCTTCTATAAAAAGTGGGAGAGTCACTGGGCATGGGAATAATGGATGCTGGGGGCCTAAGAGTTGCACACACAGGTCCTCTTTCCTGCTTCCTGTGGCCCAGGAAAAAAAAAGCCTCTTGGTGCCCCAGTGTTTTCCTTCATCTCCTGCCCTGCTCCTCTATCCCGTCTACTCTGATTACCTGCCCCCTGGCGGGTCCAGCTATACATGACTGCAGCCTTTGCCGTTTTGCCCTGAAATCATCTCCCTCTATCAAAACTTGTTCCCTTCCTGTTGGTTCTCAAGCAAACAGTTTCCAAATCCAGTTCCCTTGAAGGTGTGTGGTACAGGTTCTGGCACCCCCAAGACTCAGCTTTTGTTTTTAAACAGATTTTTTTTTTTTTTATATTTTATCATTTTTTCAAAGCATTCTGTCAAGGCATTTCCTAGAGCAATTCTAGCAGAGGAACATGAGTCATTAGCACCAGGTCAGGTGCTAATGGGCCAGGACAATACTGGGGACAAGGATCCCCACCCCTCAGCCTGCATAGCTGAGGAAGCCAAGCCAGCTCTCCATGCCTGTCAGTCAGCCTGATTCCAAAACGCTGATTCCTGGGCTCGCATCCTCTCCCTGGCCCACTCCCTTTCTCTATTTTAAAACAATGCGACAAAGTGTTTCCGCTTTGCATAGGGAAGGCCTCCTTTCCTTGGAGTTTTGTCATTTTATCACCCAGCTCCAGAGAGTAGCCAGCGGGGCTCTGAGCTGAGACTACAGCCTCGGATTTCCCAAAGCCTCCAATTCCTCCCCCAAGGGGTTGGCAGCCTCCCTCCTGGGCAGGGCCTGGCTCATGGAGCCCTGGTTTTCTGTTTATTGATTTCTAGTTGTGACATGTGGCTCATCATGTCAAAATTCTAAAGGCTGATGTTGCCCCAAAGTACCATTAATGAAAACTCCTTCCATGAATACTGTGTTTTGATGAGGGCAGTGAGTCTTCAGGCAACATTTCTAAGTATTGTTTTTGCTTGGTTTGAGGGATGGTTTTTTTTTAACTTCTTTCTTTTAAATTGAAAAGAACATAAAATGGACAGTAGATTAAGAAAGGATAAATATGTAAGGTGAACTTGAGGAAAAGACTAATTTTAACAACCTCCAAGAGGGGATGAGAGGTGATGGACCCTCCAGTTGGTAAAGCATCAGAGTCAGGCAGCTACGGGTGAGGGAATGCTTGGTAGTAAGCAAAACTGAGAGCACCAGAACATAACTACTCTTTTATGATATCCTAGCTTTTACAGATATTCTCCCAGGAGTAATAGGCTGAAAACGTCCTGCTGCATCCCATCAACATGTAGAGGAGGAATCAACAAACTGCCACCCACCCCCTATTTTTATAGTTTTATTGCAATAGAGCCATACCCATTCCTACTGTCTGCAACTGTATGCATGCTACACAAAGTGATTACAGCAGATCATATGCTCCACTACATCAGAAATATTTGCTGTCTTGTCCTTTACAAAAAGAGCTTGCCCACATCTGGTCTAGATGCTGTATCCTCTAGATCACTACTTTATAAACTTTTCCCCTTAGCAACAGAATGCTTTTTTTTTTTTTTGCAAAGAATATTCTGGGTGCCTGGGTGGCTCAGTCAGTTGAGAGTCTGACTGTTAATTTTGGATCAGGTCATGATCCCAGAATTGTGGGATTGAGCCCCACATCTGGGTCCATGCTGAGCATGGAGCCTGACTTGGGATTCTCTCTCTCTCTCTCTCTCTCTCCCTCTCTGCCCCTCTCCCCTGCTCACACATACTTTCTATCTAAAATTAAAAAAAAAAAAAAAAAGAAGAACAAGAAGAAGAAAGCTGGAAGTATTACAATTCCAGATTTCAAGATATACTACAAAGCTATTGTAATCAAAACAGTATGGTACTGGCACAAAAATAGACAGATAGATCAATGGAAACAGAATGGAGAGCCCAGAAATAGAGCCACACTTATGTGGCCAATTAATCTATGACAAAGTTAAGACTACATTAAAAAGAAAAAAGCTTTTGCAGAGCAAAGGAAACCATCAACACAACAAAAAAGCAACATACTGAATGGGAGAAGATATTTGCAAATGCTATGTCTGATAAGGGGTTAATATTCAAAACATACAAAGAACTTATACAACTGAAGGCTTAGAAAACAATCTGATTTTAAAATGTACAGAGGACCTGAATAGACATTTTCCCAAAGAAGACATACAAATAGTCACCTGACACATGAAAAGATGCTTAACATCAGTAATCATCAGGAAAATGCAAATGAAAACCACACTGAGATATCACCTTACACCTGTCAGAATGGCTAAAATAAAAAAGACGAGAGATAACAGATGTTGGCAAGGATGTGGGAAAAAAAGGAACTCTCATGCACAGTTGGTGGGAATGTGAATCGGTGCAGCCACTATTGAAAACAGTATGGAGGTTCCTCAAAAAATTAAAAATAGTTCTATTTTTAATATGATCCAATGCTTCCACTACTGGGATATTTAGTGAAAGAAAATGAATACACCAATTTGAAAAGATATATACACCCCTATATTTATTGCAGCATTATTACAATAGCCAAGATATGGAAGCAACCTAAGTGTCCATTGATAGATGAATGGATAAAGAAGAGGAGGTATGTATAAAATGGAATATTACTAAGCCAAAAAAAAAATAAAATCTTGCCACTTGTGACAACAGGGATGGACCTAGAAGATATCATGCAAGGCGAAATAAGTCAGACTGAGAAAGACAAATACCATATGATTTCATTCGCATGTGGCATCTGAAAAACAAAACAAATGACTAAACAGACAGATAAAAAGCAGAGTCAGACCTATAAATACAGAGAACAAACTGAAGGGCAAAAATGGGTGAAGGGGAGTGGGAGGTACGGGTTTCCAGTTATGGAATGAATAAGTCCTGGGAATAAAAGATACAGCATAGGAAATATAATGAATGGTATTGTAATAGCGTTGCATGGTGGCAGATGGTAGCTACACTTGTGAGCATAGCCGAAGGTACAGAGATCACAGTGAATCACTATGTAGTACACTTGAAATTAAGGTTACATTGTGTGTCAACTATACTAAAAAAAAAAAAAAAAAAGAGTAAAGAAATCACTGCACAATATATGCTTCTTAAAGGCAGGGTACTGCCTTGGTTTCTTTGTGTCTGTCTAGTGACTGACAGAAAATACACTCAAGATAAGTATGAAGGACGAATAATGGAATGAAGTGCCTCTAATTAAGACCCTCCATGGTCACTTTTGAATCTCTTTCTGCCCCCCTGGCATCTAATGTC